GAATCATTGTAATTTCTAACAAGGAGAAAAGAAAAGCCCGAGAGAGAAAGAAATCAAAATTCTTTTCCCGGAAAATGTGATTTTTGTGATTTGCGTGATTGTGATTAGTTTTATTTTCTTCCTTGCGATTCGAAACGCGAAAATGAACGCGAGCGACCGAAACTCGTCGATTTTTCCCGGGAGTAAAAAAAATGATTATTTACACATATATATGTATATATACATAAACCAGAACACAATCTTTGTGTCCGTAGCACTGTGATGAATATTTTGATAGACTATAAAAAAAGAGTAATTATTATTATTACAAAATAACTATTTCTGGATAGTAGACACGTCATAGATTTAATCGATTCTATTAATACGTCGTGCGAGAAAATATTATCGTGCGTAATTTACTAACTAGCCGCAAGGTTAATGCCCATTTTAAAGCAAACAAACGTGACAATTCGCGTTTTCCTTTATTTTTCTAAAGATGCTCCACATAAATCGCGCGGAAGAATTACGCAAATGATTGGGAGATCTCTGATTTTTCACCAGCGAATATTTTATTTATGGTTTACCGTATTCGTGATGTACGATTTGTGAAATTCTTTCTGTCTTTTTCTTTATGAAGCAATTAAGATTATCCTGTTTCACAAGGAAAATAAAATATAGTACATCTACAAATACAGTCCTTCTCTTTTTGCATAGTGATTTTTTTATTACAAGTCAAATATATCAGAGATGAAATCCAGAATAAAGAAGAAAATTGCTTATAAGCTTATATGTATACATAAGCTTTTATAAAATAAATCAATGCATTATTAATATATTATCTTTTTATAATATTAATATTACAAATAATTTAAATATTAATTTCTTGTGATTTGTAAACATTGCAACATTAAAAATCTTCTTTGTAGAATTGTTTAAAGAGTTATAATTCTCCATTGCTTTATATTCGCAAAAGATGAAATTCACGTTATTAATTTACTACATTCAATATTCGGTAAACATTTTAATCAAATCAAATTTCGCATGATTAAAGTGTTGAAAGTAAGAGAACCTTCGTTATCGTTTGCGTCTTTCTTACCGTGAATTAGAGGAAGGCAGCTTTCACTCCTCAAAATATAAATTAACTTTGTAGGATGTAATGCGGTATATAAAAAAGTCGCTGTACGTATAAAGAGAGATTATTTTTAATTGTCATTTTCTAGCGGAGAAATTGGATAATCATATATACGCATATAGCAATCAAAAGCTAATAATTGCACATTTAATTTCGATTAGAAAAGAGAAACATTTCGATAGTCACTTTGTATCTAATTTATTATATATTTTGTCTTATCCTTTTTTTTTTTTTTTAGAGGAACGAGTGTTCTTACAAACAATTTTAATCAAATTTCTTCACGTTTATTCGAGAGAACACCAAAATTTTTTCACGAAGACATTCAAAATTTTTAAAAATACGTTATTTAAAAAATTTTATCTACTTTTCTCCAAGAAACTTTTTATGATTAAAATTTCTTTTTTTATAACAAACATGCGATATTATGTAATTTATGCGCTTATTATGTTCGTAAAATCAATAAAAAGGAAAGAATCCTTTTTTAAATCTTGGTTCCTTTTTTAACTTGAATAATTGTAAATTAAATTTTCTCAATTATTTTCGATTATAATGAATTACATATGAATTTGCAGCGGTCAAGTTATTTCCTATTCTTTTATCGAGACCGAAATGTTGTATATTCCAATAGGCCGACGTGACAGTGAATATTGAATTCGTGTACTTTTTCGCAATTCGCGAGATCGATTAGCTAGATGCGTCTTTTAAACAGAGACGTTGCAAGACATATATTGTACAGAACGATGGCGAGAGCAATCGCGCCTCTTGTTTAACGAGAACGACTGTAACCGTTGTTAAATACATTTTGTCGATGTTTTCTTTTTGAGAAATAAAGTAGAATGTCGAGACGATAATTAAATGATAAATCGAACGTTGAAGTTTATTCGAGGAACAAATCCTAGCTCGAATCCATAGATAAAATTGCGAGCAGCGAATATCATAGAAAATAGTGAATGGCAAGGATATGTAAATATATATCATTGCCTTGTTCATTGTATATATAATTTATAAGGGTGGCATAGAAAAGCATCCCGGTGGTTCTCGCGTCGACGATGATAAAGAGTTTCGATAAAGCAATTAATACAGAGATAAAATAACAGATTGTCGCGCTTTGGTAAAATAATAATGTAGTTCTTATCGATCGCAACATTTCGGTGTCGACGTCAAGGACCATCTTTTCTCTCGCCCAATAATAAGCACAGGCGATCATCTTACGGTGATTGTAACCGATTGTAGTTGTATTTTTCTGGCTTGATCGAGATCTTGTTAGTGTAAAGTTTACTGAGAAGTAAGCAAATATATCAAATGATATGTGCATGAGAGGAGGTAGACTATAATATGAGACATCCTTATCAGAAATTTAACTCCAATATTATTCCATTTCAACAGGCGATAATAATGCGTTTCCTTTCTCTTTCTTTTTCTAGATCAGAATTCTACTTATAATATAAACGGAGGTGGATTGAGCTTAGAAACATTAAAAAGTTATATAATTGTTATAGAAAATATAAGCGATTGTCAAAGTTGAAATAAACGCCAACTTGCAGAGCATAAACAGTAATATAACATTAATTTATGTCAGTATTATAATTTCCCAACAATTATGCAACTGTTATATGTACAACATGTGTTACATTACATTTATATTGTCGAGTAGGGAATATTAATTGATGTAATATTACTGTTTTTGTGTTTTGCCAGAAGTTCTTAATTAATTACATTTGCATGTGCTCGACTGCTACAAATATATTCCGAAAAGGAAAATCGTCGCTCAAAAATTTACAAAATTACAAGAAAATCAAAGGGACATTATACAGGGTGTCCCGTAAGTTTTGATAAAGCGGATCATAAACTGAATCGAAAAGTCCTCTACCATTTTGCAGTTTTCGCAATATATAGTTAACGAGATATTAATTACTAAAAAAATTACTGAATATTGGTTTTCAATAATTTTTTACTCAAATACTATCAACTTTACAGAAAAACAGCGAGAGACAAAAATGTATATTTTCTTCTCAAAGAGTTCTGAGAACTTTTTCAGAATTTTTTCAAAATTTTTTAATACCGTATTCCTCATAATAAAATATTGATAGAAATAAGAAAATGCAGTACTTAAAAGTTAATAAAAAATTCTGAAAAAATTCTTAGAGTTCTATGAGAAGAAAATAAATGATTTTTGTCTCTTGTAGTTTTCTGTAAAGTTGATAGTATTTGGGTAAAAAATTATTGAAGATCAATATTAGGCAATTTTTAGTAATTGATATCTTGTTAATTATTGCGAAAATTGCAAAATGGTAAAAGACTTTTCGACTCAGTTTAATCCGCTCTATCAACACAAAAGCGCTTGGCAAAAACTTACGGGACAACATGTATAAATTAAATATTTACCCAAAATAAACATATAATTCCGCTAAAAATCAAAATGACTTTATACAAAATCAACATTTTGACTTTCATGATGTCAAAATAAAGTCATTTTGATTTTCTCTTGACTCGATGTGTTTCTATAATTATTAATTTCCAAGCAAAACAACAAGTCATGATATCAAAATGATGTCAAAATGACTTCAAAATGATCATCAAAAGTCATTTTCTTCAATCATTTCCGATTCATTTTAACGTCATTTTGACGTTATCGTGACTTGTTGTTCTGCTTGGGATAATATATAGCTGCACATAACTTTTTTTCAAAATAAACGAAGGAATTCTTTACCGAACGAGCGCTGCGGACAGTACAGGCGCTACTTCGCGAATGAGTCGTTTCGAGAATCCGCCAGAGGTTAGGCGCGTCGCGGCGACGACAAGACTGACAAGAACAGACAAGAATCGAGACAATCGAGAGGCGCGTCCGAGTACTCCGAGCGGCGAGCGCGAGTCACTCGCGCTCCGAATCGTGACTTTCTCCGCCGGGATTAGATCGTACGAGTTACGAGTTACGACAAGCTGGTGTGCGATGCGAATGGTTCGAACGTGAGACGTTCAGAAATACGTCTGGCGCGTTCCGTCGCGTTCTCGCAAGCGCGGTGTGCGCGAACGATGAGAATACCGGGGACAGGTCGGGCCTGAGGTATCGGGATCGTGGTTTGCCGCGGTAGCAACATCGTCGTCGTCGCGTCGCGATCGGATGAACCGCCGATCGTCGACGGGAAATTGGGCGTGTGTCGCGTATATACGAGGAGGAAGGCCAGGCCAGATCTCGTCGATGGGCAGCGCGCGCCGCGCGCATGCGAAAACGGATACGCACGGTGAGCCTTTTTGACGGATCCGTGACCGCTGCAATGGCGACGGCGCCTGGCGACTCGCCTACTTTCTAAGCTCTATCGAGGTGAGAGGCTGATCGCGCGCGCGTCTTCTATCGCCGCGTTCCTCCGCTGGACCGTCATATCTGGTCGTGTCTCGGGGATAAGATAATCGAGACGAATCCTGATAGAACCGTCGTGCCAGAGAATCAGGCTCAACGTCGTTGTCCTCTTGATAATCTGGAGTAATCTAGACTAATCTGGAGGAGGACAGGACACGTCGTTCTCCCGTGGCGATGCGGCAGGCAGTCCGCAGGTGCAGCCGAGCGTCGTCCCAGGGCTCCGGGATATCCGGAGAATGCGCGACACCGCCTCGCGACTTCTCTACACGGATGTAATCCTCCCGGTACGGCTCGCTTCCATCCAGCCGACGAGGTCCCGCCCGTCCTGTGTATCCTCGATCTCTTGTCCTCCGGGCGTCGGCACAGCTGACAGATCTCAACTTCGGTCTTGCTGATACCCGCGTGTGGACCCTTCTACTCTTTTTCCCAGGTAATGAACCACACGAACGATTAATCGGATTAACGTGACGCGGCACCGAAGGTTCGCGTATGACTCGTTCTTGATTTTTAACGCCTACGCATCCGGCGATTTGCGTGTCTATATATAAGACTGTGAACTTTAAACGGGTTGCTCCAGTGCGACTTTGATATAGTGATCGTTAAATGTGAGAAGGTGGACTCGTCTTGTGGACAACGGCAGTGGCGTGATTTGAAGATCGTTCGAGAGGATCGTAAATCGTAGTTGGATAGACTCAAACGGCCAAAACATGGGGAACTGCTTCAGCAGCCCGACGGACGTGGAGAAGGAGAAGCCGGACAGGATCGGCAATCCCAGCATAGAGGCGGTCGCGTCGCAGGTCAGCCCGGTGCCGACGCCGCCGCCGGATCCCATCAGGCCGATTCCGCAGATCCCAGACATGGACGTTACGACGGCGAAGATATTTGTTGCTTTGTACGATTACGACGCTCGCACCGACGAGGATTTGAGTTTTAAGAAGGGAGAACACTTGGAGATTATCAATGACACGCAGGGAGACTGGTGGCTGGCCAAGAGTAAAAGGACCAGGCAGGAGGGCTACATTCCCAGCAATTACGTCGCCAAATTGAAATCAATCGAGGCAGAACCGTGAGTGGCTTTGCCGTTTTAAATTGGACTAGGCGTGATAATTTTTATCTGTTTAATCAAAGCCGATATTGCTGATCTTTGACCTTTATTTGGATGGTTCCTGCACACCAGGTGGACGCGGATAATAATTCAGGTTGTTTACCTTTTAGAAAGACGCAAACATCGTTCTATCTTCCTTGGAATGCAATAAACAAAGATAAAACGACATTTGTGTCTCCCCTAAAAGGAAAGCAACCTCAGATGTTGAGGCCTTCTGCTAATTCTAGAAATAGGGAAAAGATAAACAGCAAGTTAAACCGAGATTAAAGTTATAAACCGAGATTAAAGTTAATCTTACATTGGTGGACCTAAATGGAATACAAATAAAACTTGATAGAAACTTTCAAAAATTAATGCTCGGATTAAAGCGAGAACACATAGCCATTCCATCAAATGAAATCTTTGATATTTAATAATAAAGGATACTTTGCAGCAAGAGACGGACAACACAGTGAATCATTACAGCCTTGTTGTTTATTAATGTTAAACAAAGATGAAATGATCACTATGTTACACTGTATCTCTCGCTGGAAAGGACTAAAAATTATGTACGATATTAATAATTTGTTATAATCGGCAGGCAAAAATTCGTCGTGCTGATCATGATCTAGTCTACGAAATAAGTCAGAGATTGATTCGCAACAAAGAATCTTGGCGATTAGTAAGTGGAAGAGCAAATCTGTAAAAGTTGTAACGCTAATTTGCATTTACAGATGGTATTTCAGGAAGATTAAGCGAATCGAGGCTGAGAAAAAATTGCTACTGCCGGAAAACGATCACGGCGCGTTTCTGATAAGAGACTCCGAGAGCCGACACAATGATTACTCCCTTTCAGGTAACGTCATAGAACGATAATAGAAACTACCGGTCGTGGTCGTAACACCGACAGTACGATAACAAATAAATGAATAATGATCGGGCGGGATCGTGCGGTAGCGTGCGATCTGTATGCAAAATTGCGAGGCCATTAAAGCGCCAAAGTGGAATATATATCGATGATTGTTGTAGTGCGTGATGGCGACACGGTGAAACATTACCGTATTCGTCAATTGGACGAGGGTGGCTTTTTCATCGCCAGGCGAACCACGTTCAGAAATTTGCAGGATCTTGTGGAGCATTACAGCAAAGACGCGGATGGCCTGTGTGTTAATTTGTGCAAGCCTTGCGTGCAGGTAAGTTCTACGAGTGACCGATACGGTTCTCAGTATAAAATAACGATTCCTTTTCTCAGTATATTAACGGTAATAATTGATAGGTAGATAATAATCGCCGTATTATCATTCGCCGCTGCTACAACAGTCGTAAGAATCGCGTGTTATTAGATTTGACGAGGGGGAGTTTAGACAGAGATTCGTCGAAGTAAATACGTCATATACTTAACGCGCCATACGTCACCTCGGCGACAAAGTTTCATTTATCGCTGAGTTAGGCAGGTCTTTATTAATAATGAGACGATACTAACGGAGAATTTGCGTTATAATGTTATCTACTGTGTTTTTGTTTATTTCCGTGAATGAGACTGCGTTTAGCGGAAATTTGTTGTCATTGAAATATGGAATTGCATTAGATGAATGATCTCAATTAAAACGTGTGATGAGAAGGAACGACTATAAATAATATGGTCATAGAAATCTTTTTAAAATTACACATACATATTCCCACGCAACAAATAGCAGCGGAAGTCAATTGGGATTATATTGATGAATATTTACATAAACTGGCTTTATGTTTATTTCCTACCAGTATCATATACATATAATACTGTCTAAACTCCAACACTTGCAACGATGCCGATCGATACGCTGATTATTCGCCCTAATTACGATGATGGTGACAAACTCGATCAACCAAAGTATATTATTACTGTTATGTTATTATAGAAAATATTGTTGCTATTAATACTAATAATTAATCTTTTTTTCTTTCTTTGTTATTACCTCTATTATTTCGTTATTATAAGCATTATTGCTACTAATGCACAATACTTTAGATCGTCGAGATATCGTTCCGAGTACAAAACATTTACAACATATCAATTACATCGATTACATCTGTAATTTTCTAATTCAGTTGGTTTATTTTTGAAAAATCGCGAGTAGGGAGATCGATTAGATGAAACTTAATGTCACAGCAAACGAGGTATATTTATATCTAATTTATATTACTTATTGAAAAAAAAAAGAGATCGGTTTTTTAGAAGCATTGATAAGCACTTGTTGCGAAGTTCGATGTCTGAATAGATTGTGTTTGTTTGTCTGTTTATTGCTTGCCCTACTTCCCGGTGGATTTTCTTGGTAAATTGAATGTCCTAATATACGCCATAACACGTTTTTTCGATTCCTTTTTCTCGACGTAAAACGCTTTTATATTTCATTATGTCTGGCCTGTATATACAGCACAAGCCCGTTCTATATGGGATTATGTTTCAAAAGCAGTAGATTGTCATTCACTTAGAGATATCTCGTATAAAAGCTCTGTACATTCGATGTAATTTCATATTTACAACAACTTATCTCATACACCAATTCATCTAGCATAGTAGACATCTCGCGAGAGGTGTAATATATATAGGTAAATATAAAGAACCGAGATTGGCAGCACACACAAGCAAGGAAACGACACTTGCGTTTCACCGCGAAATATCGCGCTCTCGTTTGTGAATAACAATTTACATACGAACTCTTTTTTTATACGTATGTATAAATTTATATGAGTATTGAACGCGAAAGCGAGAATCGGCTCGAATGTATGTGTGCTCGAAATCTATCTATATACAGGATGTCCCAAAAACGTTCCTACATATCTCATCCGTTATTCAAGAGGCGAACGAAGAGCGTGAACGAGTATATATGTGCATGATATCCCGTTTAGATCATGTATGTACGCGTATACCGCGTATTTCTGAGATTCGCGGCATGTTTTTTTTTCTAATTGCGACATATTTGAGACATTCTGCATATTGTGTCGCTCGTTATTTCATTTTCCTCTTCGTCTTTCTCCTAAAATTCTAAATATCTGTTGGAACGATCTCGCGATCATGTTTACCGTCCGGGATCGTTATTGGGGTTCTTACACGATTGCAGGACATGGAGCAAAGTAGGTTTGTATCCGCGAACAAGGGAAGTTAAGCGCTAGCGCTCTCATTTTTTTTACACTGCGTAGAACATTGTCTCTTACGCTTAGCTATAGAATTTGTTCTCATAAAGGAGACGAAACGAAATATAGTTCGCCATTAATGCAGCCGATCAAACACCTTCCTTGCACAAAATCGAGTCTCGCGTGTCTGTCCCCTTGTCGACGACGGCTGATTCCGAGTCTGGCTTTGTTCAACAGGTTGAGAAACCCGTAACGGAAGGCCTTAGTCACCGTACGCGGGACCAATGGGAAATCGATCGTTCATCGCTGAAATTCCTGAGGAAGTTGGGACAGGGCCAATTTGGCGAAGTGTGGGAAGGTTTGTGGAACAACACTACCCCAGTGGCGATAAAGACGCTCAAGCCGGGCACCATGGACCCGAAGGACTTCCTTGCCGAGGCGCAGATTATGAAGAAACTCCGACACGCTAAACTAATTCAGTTGTACGCTGTGTGCACGATGGAGGAACCGATCTATATCATTACAGAATTGATGAGGAATGGCAGTCTTCTAGAATATTTACAAGGTATGCAAGGTACGATTTTATTCTTACTGGCCCTTTTATCACTATATTGTGTGATAAAAGCTTCTTAAATAATCAAAGGATATTCACGAATATTTTTGTTTAAAAATATGTGCCAGTATTTTAAATTAAAAGATTGATCGAATATATTTCTACTTTTTATCTTCTTTAACTTATATTGTCAACACTTTAACATTATATTGTTTGGTAATGTTTTCGCTAAAAATCTAAAGATTTAGAAGCATTTTGCTCTAAAAAGTTTCCAGTTTTCTGCTCTTTAAATAAAAGAACAGATATATTTCTCAGTCTAGTTGCATATTTTATTTGCTCATTAATTCTTCAAGGTGTCATCTCAAAATACTACTACAAAATCGATAAAGCTTATTTCTGCTGTCGTATCTTTTCGTTACATTACCGTTGTAGCAATCATGTATGATCTTTTAGGAAAAGGTAGAGGCCTAAAACTACAGCAACTAATCGACATGGCTGCGCAAATAGCTGCCGGTATGGCGTATTTAGAGTCGCAGAATTATATTCATCGAGACTTGGCCGCCCGTAATGTTCTCGTAGCAGACGGAAATGTCGTTAAGATCGCGGACTTTGGTTTGGCTAGGCTTATCAAAGAGGATGAGTACGAGGCTAGAATAGGGGCGCGCTTCCCTATTAAATGGACCGCTCCTGAAGCCGCCAACTACAGCAAATTCAGTATTAAATCCGACGTATGGTCGTTTGGAATTCTCCTTACCGAATTGGTCACATACGGTAGAATACCCTATCCAGGTGAGATTTTAAAAATAAAAATAATCTTGTATTGCTATATTTAACTTTTAAATTTTTAATTAAAATTACATAAAGTCATTTTTAATCATTTTTAACGTATGTGCGATTAAATTAATAACATAAAAATGCATTTTATTCTTTAGGTATGACAAATGCTGAGGTTCTTCATCAGGTGGAGCATGGCTATAGAATGCCAAGTCCACCCGGCTGTCCCGACACACTTTATAATATCATGCTGGAATGCTGGAACAAGGATCCTATGAAAAGACCGACTTTCGAGACGCTTCAGTGGAAACTTGAGGACTTTTTCACTATGGAAGGTTCCGAGTACAAGGAAGCGTCTGCGTATTGAATAGAGGATTTCGAATTCTTCTTCCATATTGCTCCATTAAGAGATCCGGTAACTGTACCGTCACTTCGTCGACGGCGATCGTTACGATCTTCTTCATTGATCTATTTGTGACACTAGTTTTCGCGATACTTTTGGAAAAGTATCGCAACTTTTATACTCGAATGACTATGATCATTTTGCGAACGATCAATAGTATAGTTTTATTTGACGGTAAAGTTTTCTTTTTTCCTCCGTCTCTTTTTCTCTCTCTATACGTTTTTTTTCTTTCCTTTTACATTCTCGTCTTCGCACATTCTGTCTGCCATAAATCTTGAAGAATATTTGTACATTTTTATCTGTATGACTTGACAAACGTACATTGGCATTTTGATAGCTTTACCAGGAGCGGCGACGAAGTTTTAGATATCGTTTTAGACCGCAGTAAGGATGTTGTACACGTAGACGTTAAATGGCCTTTGTAAAATCGTTTATAAGTGTCAGTTAGGTAGACCTCGATCATCAGGGTGATAATTCCGAGTGATGATGATGGTAGTAGTAACGATGTAATATATTTGTGTACAATATAAGTTGTACTTCCTGTATTACAATTTCCATACATACACACTACATATATATATATATATATATATATGTGTGTAGTGAATATATATACATATATATATGATACGATGAAAAATCGATCTCTTGAAAATTGAACCGACAATGTGAGAGACGAAACGACGGACCATAAATATATAATTTTTCCTTCTTTCTTCTCACTCGAGCGTAACACGAATTTAATTACGACGTACTTCCGCGAAACGAATATACAGAAGTCGTCGAAATGATTTCGCAGGCCGTGTGCGAAGATCGGGGGAGCTATAATCCGGTCCGTCCTAGATAATGCGGAAGACTGTCCTGTAGTGATTGTGTCGAACGATATTATATTTTTTTCGTCTATCTCGTCTGTTTGTCACAAAACGCGACAAATACTGACACAAACTGCCAGCTAACGTTTTCTAAGATATACTTGTTACTTATAACGTGTAAGATCACATTTTGGAAGTATATGCGTGAGAGTATGCATCTATCTATGCATGAGAAATGTACGATATTTGCTATGAAGGCACGAAACATCCAGTTTACCATTGTATCTTTAAGTACTATGAGAAGAGAATGTATATCACGAATTACGTCATCTTCGTTAATCATTCGGATATATTCATGTTATCAAATTCGTCATTTTTATATATTTTTATATATCGTCCCTAATGTTTTATTATACTCATTTATCGCGATTTTTCACGTTTGTGAATGACTCAAACTTGAGAATAATTATTACGCGAAAAAATAAAATAAGTCGATAATGTTAGATATATACTTTATAAATGTATGACTCCATAACGGTAAATGATGTAAAATTATATAGATATTTTAGCAATATTTTGATCCATTTAACACATATACGGAATGTGCCAAAGTCATCGCCATTCCTTTTTGTCTATTGATTTTTCTATGAATTTAGAGTTGATTTTTCCATGATTGAAATATTACTGGAAGTTATCTTTCAAAACAATTTGTGCAATTTTACAATAAATGTTTTATTGATACAAAGATTCGAGATAATTTTATCAAGGTATTTTAATTGAAAGACTTTTGTCAAAAGATCGACTCTAATTTCATCAGAAAATAAGCCTAGGGATTTGATGCAAATCGTACAAAACATCTTGAAATACGTGCGCGGTAAGGATATATATGTATATGAGAGCGTATGTATGCACATCACTCTAGCATCCATCTTCTGTTCTGAAATCAGAGCTGTGTTAATAGTACCAAATTGATCGCAAATTTCAAAGAAATGCGTGCTTATGGATGGTATCATCGTTGGAGAAATCTTTGTAAATCTGCACGATAAATCTTTGTAATACCGTTATCCCTTAGATGGCTTAGATTAACGATACATCGACCAACTTCCCATATAAGAAGTACTATTTCTCTTTCAATTAAGCTTTATTTTACATTTCTCTGAAAAATTGTAATTTAGTAAAAGAAAATGTTATTTATAAGAGAAAACGTTAAAGCAATTTTATATTTTAAAATTCATTTTATATTTAAAATTAATTAAATCGTGTGCATGAAATCTAAAGAGGATCATAAGTTGTGACATTGCACTTGTAAGAAATAAGATAAAAAATACTATCAATTATAGATATAATAATAATGAAATGTAATGCAACGATTACAAGCACAAAACGGATGAAAGTTTACTGGAATTCCTGTTATAATTTTTATTTAAACAAATTCTTTTTCTGTAATTAGAAAGGAAGACGATTTCTCTATCGAATAATTATATCATAGGAATTTGTGGCGAGTGAAAATAAAAATACTTTAGATATGTAAGAAATAATTGATAAAATAAACGCAACAGTTTTGTTTATGAAAATGAGATTATTCAAAAACCTTTATTATAAGAGAATTATTCTGTACATAAATATTTAAAAAGGAGCATTTCCAAAAGATATATCAAAAGTTATCCTTAACAGGAAAGATTTATTAATTTGAATATGTGCAATTAGTATATCCTGAGGAAGAAATAAAAACGAAATTAATTTAGTCAAATAAACAATTTCTTGTAATGCCCCAATTGCATATTCAAATTAATAAATTTTTTAAATAATTCTTCATTGAAAGAGTTAAAGACGAACTAGGTAAATTAGTTCAGTGAAAAGAACAATTTTGTTCTCAATGTACATTTAATTATAGACACACAATGCGCGTACGCGTCTAAATATTTATAACACACGAGGAGAGTGGCAAGTTGAAGTCGCGAGGAACGCGTGAACGCGAGTTTCGCTGCACTAGTGTTTTATATGGCGTTTCGCAGGTTTCGCTAGATACATAAAATCACCAGATCCGCAAGCGCGCGTCAGCGACAGGTGTCTCCTGGCTATACAGGTGTTCTCTTCAGTCGGCCAGTGGTGGTCAGCGGCGCGCATTCGTGCGTGCGTGCGTGCATGCCTGCGTGCGTGCGTGCATGCGTGCGTGCATGCGTGCTCCGTTCCGTTCCGTATCGTACCACTCTCGTGTCTCGTCGTGGCGCGAGGAAGGACTGCGCTTTCCTCTCCTTCGCGAGTACGAGTTCCGTTCCGTTTCGCGGACGAGACTTTTCCTACGAGAAAGTGATATATCGCGGGCGACGTGAAGAAACGCGGTGCGACGCCGTGTGTGTCGGAGCTCTGAATAATGACTCGGTCGAGGCGCAAAGTCATCGACTCAGTACCGAGAAGAGAGAGAAGGTGAACGAGAGAGAGAGAGAGAGAGAAAGAGAGGGCAAGAATCCCTCTCTTTTTTTCTCCTGATATTCACGGTGCTTTCGAATAAACGCTAAAATTTTCACATGCCAACAGCGATCTACGCTCGATCGATGGAAGGATGGATTCACGTTGCACTGGGATATTATGTTAATCACCTTTTACGGTCAGAATGAGAGAGGAAGAGCTCGAGATATCACTCAAGGTAATCGCGAGGCTCCCGGTTTCTTACTTCCGTTCCCTCTAGTTTTCTACTTTACTGTAATTTTTTCATTTCTCTCCATCTAGATTTCTCCAAATTCCACGAACGCGTTTGCTCCGTTCTGTGTGCATCAAGAGAGTAGACCGTGATAGAGCGTGATCGAAAAGAAGCGGACGCATTTTTCATATTCGCGCTTCGTCCGCCGTGATTTTCCGCCGGAAAGGAAAGCGACCGTCTCGTTATAGCGCGTCGTCTTGCTACACACGAAGTTATTATTTCCGCGGCGAGGCCGCACCTCGCTCATTTTTTTATTCATCTGCTCTAAGACGCTCCTTAATGCTCGCTCTCGACGTGACGAGTGACTTCTGCCCGGAGTAACTCAGCGGATAGACTTGACGAGGCATCTTTCATGCACAGACTTTTCCAATTAGTAATTTTTTTCACTTAAGACATTAATCGGAAATAGAATTCATTCTTTTCTTTCGCTTTCCAAATTGGTCAGATTTTAAGCTTCTTCTGGTGAAAGTTTTTCTCAGAATTTTTCATATAATTTTTCAAAACTTCTATATAATTTTACATATTTCTCACATTTTTTATACAAATTGGAACATTTCTCAGAAAATTTACATCTTTTTTCAGAATTTTTCGTATATGTTAATTATGAAATATCGTAAGATTTCTAAGATTTTTTGTGAGTATAATTTCTGATGAAATGTTATAAAAAATCTAAAAAGTTTAAAAATATTTTTTAGAAATTATGGGATGAGAAATATTTCAGAATATTTTAGAATTTACGAAAAATTTTAAGAGATGATATAAACTTTCTGAATATTTTTGAGTATTTTTGAAAAATGTTCCAATTCGTATAAAAATTATGAGAAAAATTTTCACCAGGGTCGAGCTTAAAATCCATAATTTAGAGTGTTTCCCTTTTAAAAGACATAGTCGACATAGCTAAAAAAATAAGTCGAATTTGACTAAAAAAAATGATCTTTCAAAAACAAGTTGGAATTATCGCTCGCTTTCTTCATGATATTAAATTTACATATAATGGAATTATACGTTATCGATATTTATTCGTAATTATTATCTGCCAGTCACATTTACGTTGTAAATTAATTCACTTGCAACGTCTGTATCAGTTCGTTCATCTGATGGTTATGATATTTACGCGCCGTTAACTTTATTATCTGATCGTATGTTTTTTGCTAATTCGAGATTCATCAATGCTTAAGACTTATCCAAGTTCTCGAGAATTCGCGATGCTCGCCGAGAATCGACTCGATAAATTTCACACGCGATTAACACGCGAGGCAGAACCTGACGTATATTAAACTGGTCATGGAGAGCTGAACGGAGAATCGCAAATGCATACATCAAATATATAATTAAAGAATTAAATAATATAGTTTTACGCAATTTGAAAAGCAATTAAATCTCCATTAGTTTTTTCACTCTTCGTCTGCAGTCTACAGGTCTTCGAACTTTAGTACAGATTTTTATTATATTGTTCCGGACTATATAAAAATTTGAAATGTACCTATAAAAGTTTAATGGCTTTAACCACGAATTTTTACTGCCATAAAAGTTGGGGATTCCAGATGGCACAGAGAGTTTAAAAAGAATTTAAAAAAAATTCAGT